GAGGTAGTGGCGGTGCTGTGACAGTGTTGCTGATAGTGAAAATGACAATGACGTAATTAGTGAGACAACAGTTGAGACTGAACGTCAAACAAGGAAATAAAAAACAGCTTACTGACTGTCAGCTAGGCCTACTTACATTTGTTAGTAAAAGCAACAGGCACGTTCCTCCGATGGCATAAAAAAGTGAAAATTAAACATGACCCCCCCCCCCCCAAGTCGAAATAGTAGGACTAGTAGATTAGGTCCGAACTTCCCACTAACAGAAGATAATTAAAAAATTTGAGTGTATAATAACAATTCAACATGAGATTAATGTGATGTAAAAAATGTTCTTTTGTTTTGTTTTTATTTTAAGTGCATACCTGTCATTGGAGAGTAAAAAAAACCCAGCAAGATAGAATGTGCGTGCGTGATCACAGAAAACAGCGAAGCCGGTGTCCCTGCCACTCATTCCACGCTGGGAAATACACACACACAAACATACACAGCCCAAGTGTTGGAGTGAGGAGGTTCCCTCTGAAACTAACCCGCGTTTGCCAGGCAGCGTTTTGCACAGCCAGTCTGCGCAGCGGGGAGGAGCGAGGAGGCCTACGTCACAAAATGAATATTAGATTCGTAGAGAGCTAACAACACCCCAGAGGGGACTCCCTGGGGAGACAACCTTTTATACCGACCCGGCGCCCGGTCGCCTGATTGGAGCTCTCCTGCGACCCCCTGGAGAAAATAATGCGAAGTATTTTTAGTTTGAGCTCTTCAGGCTGGGGGTAAAAAAAAGGTAAAAGCAAAGAGGAGGTAAAAAGGAAAGAAATGCTAAAAACTGAAGCCCATGAAGCGAAATGTCGATAAAAAGAGCCTGCTTTTGGCAAACCCAACTCCCTGAGGACTCGGGTCCCTCAATCATGGCTTCCTGCTCAACTTCTTTGGCGTCTTACCCCGAGGAGACTGCACCCTCCCACTCACTCACGCACGCACGCACGATCGCATGCTCAGGCGCAGACTGAACTGCCAACATCTCCACCCTCCCACACATGCACACACATTCATCCTCATCGTTGAAAAACATAGGTCTAATATATAAAAAAAATAAGAAGAACACTCGTAAAAGACAAAAGGGGTGGTGGGGATGGAACTACTTAATTCCGTATGGCGAGGCAATTTCACCACTTTATCCCGAG